AGGAGGAGTGTGGGTGGTGCAGACAAGCCCCAGGCCGGCGGCGCTGGGGCGGCCCCTTGCAGAGGAAGCGGGTGTTTCTGTGAGTGAACACACCCCACTCCCTGAACACGAGGGAGGCGTAGTATCATTGCCACCACATCCTGCCCACTCAACCGGCCGCGCCCGCCCTGGCTGTCTCATTCCAGACTCGGGGGCAGGCAGGCTGCTGCACGCACCGGGCTCCTCTCCTCCCGCTTCCGTTCCCCAGTCTTTAGGCCCTGGCCCTGGATGGGGACTCCAGGTGTCCGCGTGTCTCAGTGGAGGCAGCTGTGTGATTCAGCAGACCCTCCCAGTGCCACTTTCTTTCCCAGCAGTGTAGGTGGTGCGTGGACCCAGCTGGTCATTAGAGGGCCCGGGCCTTCCTGTGGGGCGGGTGCTTGCGCTGGCCCGTGAGTCCTGGCATCGCTAGGAGGGCTGACTTCTGGGCTGGAGCTGCCAGCCCAGGGCGGGTGGTGGTGTCTGCTGGCCCCTTGGTGACCTGAGCACTGGTAATGCTGAGGGGCGGGGAAGCTGCACTCCCAGGCCCGTTTCTCTTGGCACTGCCTGGGTGAGACCTTGGGGAGGCGGAGGGCAAGTCCCACATGGTGGCGAGGACCTGAGCCCGGTGGTGGGGCACAGGCCTGCTGGGTTTGTTCTTACTCTACTCTGCCACTTAATAGCAGGGTGATGTTGGCAGGTGATGTCACCTCCCTGAGCCTTAGCACCCCCATCTATGGAATGAGGCTAAAGAGGCCTGTTCTCTTGGGCATCAAAGGGACCCTAGGAGGGCCTGCAGGGGAGGCCTGCCTGGTGCCTGGCAGACTTTCAGGCCCTCAGCACTGTACCGGCTGTGGCCATCATCACCCCTGCCGAGTGCCCCATTCCACCTGCCTCACATGGGGTCTTGCTCTGCTTTCCTCCTGTCCTCCCCATCCAACATAGCCTAGAAAGACTGGGGATGGGGAGTGTTTGGCATTTGCAGAGAGATGCTGTTCTTTTTTTTTTTTTTGAGATGGCGTCTTGGTCTGTCACCCAGGCTGGAGTACAGTGGCGCAATCTCGGACCACTGCAAGCTCCGTCTCCTGGGTTCATGCCATTCTCCTGCCTCAGCCTCCCAAGTAGCTGGGACTACAGGCGCCCGCCATCACACCCGGCTAATTTTTTGTATTTTTCTTAGAGATGGGGTTTTACCGTGTTAGCGAGGCTGGTCTCCATCTCCTGACCTCGTGATCCACCCGCCTCGGCCTCCGAAAGTGCTGGGATTACAGGCATGAGCCACCGCGCTTGGCCCGAGAGGTGCTGTTCATAAAGAGTTCCTTACTAGGCCGGGCACGGTGGCTCACACCTATAATCCCAACACTTTGGGAGGCCAAGGCAGGTGGATTGGTTGAGGCCAGGAGTTCAAGACCAGCCCGGCCAACATGACAAAACTTCGTCTCTACTAAAAATACAAAAATTACCTGGATGTGGTGGTGGACACCTGTAATCCCAGCCACTTGGGAGATTGAGACACAAGAATCGCTTGAACTCAGGAGGCGGAGGTTGCAGTGAGCCAAGATCATGCCACTGCACTCCAGCCTGGGTGACAGAGTGAGATCGTCTCAAAAAGGAAAAAAAAAAAAAGAGTTTGTTACTCTTCTGGTTATTAACATTATCAGTAATCTAAGAAAGGTGGCCCATCTTCTGGGCACCCCTGTTCCTCTCCTAAGAGAAACAGACACATTTGACACAGGCATTTAAAACTTGGCTTAGATAAAAATCTAGGTTCTGGGTTACAGTGTAAGGTAAAAATAGAGTGTAAAGTAAAAGCACAATTTGGCCAGGCACGGTGACTCACACCTATAATCACAGAATTTCGGGAGACCAAGGCAGGTGGATCACCTGAGGTCAGGAGTTCGAGACCAGCCTGGCCGACGTGGCGAAATTCCGTTTCTACTAAAAATACAAAAATTAGCTGGGCGTGGTGGCAGGTGCCTGTAATCCCAGCTACTTGGGAGGCAGAGGCAGGAGAATGTCTTGAACCCAGGAGGCGGAGGCTGTGGTGAGCTGAGATTGTGCCACTGCACTCCAGCTTGCATAGCAGAGCGAGACTCTGTCTCTAAATAAATAGTAAGTAAAAGCACAATTTATTTTAATACACAGAAAGGGCTGGGTGCTGTGCCTCATTCCTGTAATCCCAACACTTTGGGGGGCCAAGGCAGGATTGCTTGAGGCCAGGATTTCAAGACCAACTTGGTCAACATAGCGAGATCCTGTCTCTACAAAAAATTTTAAAAATTAGCCAGGCATGCTGGCACACACCAGTAGCCAGCCACTTGGGGGAGGCTGAGGTAGGAAGATTGCTTGATCAGGAGGTTGAGGCTGCAGTGAGTCATGATCACGACACTGCACTCTAGTTTGGACAACAGAGCAAGATCTGGTTTCTTAAAATAAAAATTAAAAAATTCTAAAATACGCCTGTAATCCTAGCACTTTGGGAGGCTGAGGTGGTCAGATCACGAGGTCAGGAGATCGAGACCATCCTGGCTAACACAGTGAAACCCCGTCTCTACTAAAAAATAAAAAAAAATAGCCAGGCATGGTGGCTGGCA